TCTCTTTGAGTATCATCATTGTTCTTTGACTTCGGAACTCAAATCCATTCCTCAAACCAAAGATTGAGAATTCTCAGTGGCCGATCCATACAAGTGTGATTCGCGTAGTAGGAGAAAATTGAGAATTGTCGTCATCGATTCGGTCTCGGCGTCGAACCCGGAGCTCCGTAGAGGACCCGACGATCTCATTTTTTCCATCCTCTCTAAGGTTTGTATGTTGTCAAACGATCTCGTTGCCAGATATATTCTCTCTTTAACACACAATTATAGCAATCTCACTTCCTGAAAATTATAGCAAAAAAATTCATCAAAGTTCCAATGCGAAACAACTTCCATGAAACAAATAATAACTGAAAATTCAACTAATAATTGAATAACCTTGATAAAAGTTGTTTTTCTCAGCGTAAATACAAACCATTAAAAAAAACAAAACCTAATTGCATATAAATGTACTTTCTCAAATGATCGGGACCTTTTTTGTTGTACAACCATTCTTGGATTCAATAAATTTTTTTTAAGGTATGAATATAACGTTTTAAATCATGAACGGTGTTTTTATTTCATTTTTAAATATATATATATATATATAATTTAGTTACTTTCTATGACAATTTATCAAATTCACATTATTTGTTATATAGTATAAAATTGTATTTATTTGTTATATGGATTATTTGTTATTTTTTAAATGAAACATTTATTTTTATAGTTTATTTTGTCTCTTATTTATTTGTAACAATTTAGAGGTTTTTTTAAAATGTAATATTTAGGGATTAGATATAATGTAAATATAATTTTTTAAAATAAAATATAAATAGAAATAAAAATATGAAATCAAAACTATTCATCCATAAGGTATAATATTTAAATTTGACTTTTTTTCTCTAATAGAAGTTCATATAGCAAACATCAATTTTGATTTAATGTACCAAAATATTTTAATTAATTGAATATTATTAAATTTTACTATTTACTGTTTTATGTGTGCATAAATTATATCAAACTTTGTTTACATGGAACTAAATTATACCAAATATATTAAAACATGCATACATATATGTATATATGGTATTTGAATATCTTAAATATTTGTTAAAATATTTTATATTATTTTGTATTTATAATCATTTTATTGTTGTAATTTTTAAAAATTATAACAATAATCTTCAAAACCAAGTAAATATTATTTGTGCAATCAGATCGATATTGTATCTCTCATTTGAAATATGTAATCAATATATCTACATATATATATATATATATATATATTTGCTTTTTCATTTGACAACTTTAATTTCTTTTTTATGATTAAAAAAAAGGAGGCATATGGAGGAAAAAGGGACACGACACACATGCAAAACGCTCATTTTTAACAATACACCAGATTTCTATAATAAGTCAGTCATTTTTTCAAGAAACCAGAAGACATAATTCCATCGCGGAAAATGAAGAAACATGCATATAATATCACATAAAAAACAAAAAAGTAGATAAAAATAGAAAGACATGGCTCTAAAAAAGGGATGATTGCTACATCTAAATATTTCTTGGAACAAAATTTTAAAACTCAAACAAACCATATATATACTATGAAAAATAACTAAAACCATGTAATTAAATGGATTATAAAAGGATTGTTGTAAACAATACTCAAACTTCTTGTGATTTGTATTCTGTAAATTTCATTTGGGACTGGAGAGTTGGGAACAGATAAACTTGGCGACAGCTACCATGTTATTGAGCGGTGGCTTCACGTCTGTGTATTTACGGGTGCATAGAGAGATTTTGACAAAACCAAAAAAGGTGAACATATATCTACAAAACGTGTATATGCCATTATATATAAACACATAGAAAAATAGGTGAGTATGGCAGTTTCGAATATCTAAACCTATAATTTTTTTTTCGATTAAACAGAAATTATCTATATAAAATTGTATTTTAGTAGCAAATATAAAGGAAACCAATTAATTTTAACGATATATTTTTTATATTAAATAAATAAATTAAATTATAATAACTATATTAATAAATTTTATAAAATATATAATCCATACATTGCGCTTTATACTAAAAATTTCCAACATATAAATTTAAAGGTATTGATTTTTTTATATAATCAAACATATAATTTTTATTTTATTTTTAACATATATACATATATATACACATAAATATATATATATATATATACACACAAATACATATACACATATATATACATACATACAAACATATACACACTCAAATATATTGTTATATATATATGTATACATACATATGCATATATATATACATATACATATATACATAATATCACATATACATATACACAAATTAAAAATCAAATATAAATATAAAAATACATAGATAAGTACGTACATACGTATATACATACGTATATATATACAAATATAAACACACTCACACACACATATATATATATATATATGTTTACATGTTTTTTATTAAACGTATTACCTATTTTTTTATAACCTATTTTTAATGGGCAAAAATTAGTGATAGTTTAATAATATATATACACACATACATACATAAATAAAAAACCAAATATAAAATATAAATATAATATATATATATGTTTACATATTTTTTATTAAACGTGTCACTTGTTTTTTTAAACCTATTTTTCATGAGCAAAAAATAGTGATAGTTTAATAATATATATATACATATATCCATATATACACATAAATTAAAAATCAAATATAAAATATGAATGATTTAAAAATATATACATACAATCATACACACACAGAGAGACACACACATATATACATATATACATATATCTGTAAAATGCTTGAGTCAACTCTAGAAAAAAGGACAAAACTGTTTTGAGTAAACGTTAAGATTTGCAAACACGGATTAACTGGCTCAATATGTATAGAAAATAAGAGGTAAAGATAATTGATATTTTAAAATAGATCAATGAAGTTCAATCACCCTTTCTCTGAATTGGATGTGAAGACATGCATACCATTTCATTCCTTCTATTGGACCACATAGCATCACCACCTGCAAAAACACAAACGCATTTTAAACCGGAATAAACCCAGAGATTGAAAGGGGGAAAAATTATATAATGAATGACAATCACAATGAAGTTATGGGTCCATACGTGGAACCTATATAAGCTCGTTTAAGAACCAATAACGCATGATAACATAATAAAACTAATTAGAAAAAATAAATGTGATTATTAGTGACCTATTAAATATTACGTTCTACAGTTTAATATTTAATCTTTTGCTTACTAAATACAATGAAGTTGAGGCGTAACCGTTTTTGTTTTATTGTGATTGTTAGTGGCTAATAAATACCAAGAAACGTTTTTGTTTCAAAGTGTTTTGTTGATAGTTTTATTTTTAATTTTATATCATATAGCAATACGTTGCAAATTAGATGTAGTCCAATCGTTATACATAATATAATAAATTATAAATATGAGATTTGTTTTTTAAATTGTAATTATGTTAAAAGTTTTCATTTAATTCTTATCATATCATTTTTCTTATTTAATATGTAATAATTTTTTAATAACCAATCAAAAAATAGATTTTAAATATAAATATAAAAAATTAAAAAACTAAGATCAAAATAAACTTTTATATAGTAAAAGTTAACTTTTCGTACTTTTATTTATTATATTTAGATGTAAAAATTAGTGTTAATCTAAATGTATATATGTGTGTAAAAATTAATTATAATAATAATTATAATTATGATTGTGAAAGATGATATTAAATTAATAAAAATTAAAACAAAAATGCCACATAGATGATGACATGGAGATGAGGTGGCTTCACCACAATCCTTTAAACATCTTTATTAATATATATAGATTTATATTCGAATGTAAATATTTTAATAGTTTCAAGTAGATGACTAATGAATGTGAACGGCATTTGTGGACCGGCTCCCTTAATTTCGAAGAGCTTGTAAGAAATCCAACTGGGGAAGGGGGCAGTTGAGAAAGTAAATAAATGGATCAAATTAATGCAAGTTTTAATTTGGGAAAATTGCAAAACAAATATACGAATTTTTTGATTTTCACAAAATAAAACTTTGTTTTTTTAATCAAACCCCAATTTTATTTTTTTGATAAAAAATAAACCTGAATTTTATAACCTTTATCATTTTTAAATCTATTACTGATGTGGTCTTCCGTCATCATTTAAGTTTAGAATAGAAAAATTATGATTATAAAATTCGGATTTATTTTTTATTTAAAAATGAAGAAAGTGTTTTATTTGATGAAAAAACAAAATTTTAAGTTTTATCTTGTAAAAATTTTAAAAGTTTTAGATATTTTTTTTAGGATTTTCTATTTTTATTTCTACATTTAGAAAATTATGGGTTTTCAGTATGGCGGGGTTGTCCCCACAATAGTGAAAAATGAAAATTGAGTTTTAACCCCAAAAAAAATGAAAAATGAAAATAGAAGGTGGTTGTTCCGCAAACGCTATATTAAACTCCTTTAAAAAAAAATACACGTATTATGTCTACGTACCATTGATAGATATTCCAAGGTTGTATTGAAATTTCAAAGCTGTGTTTATTATAGTTTCCGACATGCGGTTGATGACAACCATTGTCTTATACTACTATATAGTAATAATATTAATATACGCATGATTTATAATATTTTTCCCCCACGAATTTATGACTGATTTATGAATCTTATTTTTCTGCCGTCTTCTTGGGTATTCGGCAACCGTTTCTGAATATTTATTATTTAACACAACTAACCATTAATTGCAATCGCTCCTATGGAAGAAATTCAGAAGAACACTAGCATTATATTGACAAAGACAAGTGCAGAAAAATAAAAATAAAACTTGTAATATGTTTATGTAGCTTTTTTCGACATTTATAAATCAGAGACTATTATTAATATTTTAGTATTACGTCGTCTCATGTTTTCTATAAATATCACCACATGCAAATTGACGGAGTCATTATCGTTCACAGTTTAAAAAACAAAACCGACAGAGGATATGGAAAGCGAATTCCCCAAGTCCCAGATCGCCGGCGTACAAACCGTGATACCGGCGAAGGCCACTCTTCACCGGAAAGTTCGGCCCATATCCGCCGAAGATGCCGCCGGAGCAGGAATATTCCGGCGGACCCTCGACATCGTTTTGTACTACAAACACGGCAGCGGCGACACTGATTCTGGATGGGTGGGCGCCGGGTGGATCAAGGAGTCGCGCGGAAGAGCCCTGACGGAGCAACCGGCGCTCAGCGGCCGTCTGCGTCGGCGGAAGGCAGAGGAAGACGGCGGAGGACTGGAGGTGGTTGCCAACGACAGCGGCGTCCGGCTCGTGGAGGCCAAGTTTCCGGCCAGCATGCCGGAATTTCTCGAGCTGGCGAAGAGAGACATGGCAAAAGCTGAAGCCGAGACATTGTTCTGGAGAGATATCGATGAAGATGATCCCCAGTTCTCACCCTTGTTCTATGTTCAGGTATATACACACACATGTATATGTAGCGACGGAAAAATCCGTCGTAAATACAAAGGAAATTCGTCGCAATTAAGAATTTGCGACGGAATGCGACGAACTTATTTCCGTCGCTATAGCGCTGTCGCAAACGTATAACGGTCGTTAATCCGTCGCATTTTTTCCGTCGCATTCCGCGCAAATGTTTTAAATTTTTTAAAAAATATATATAAAAAAATTATATACTATATATACACGTACATATATACATTTTCACATACACATACACCTATATACACATATATTCATACACAAACATTACACACATACAAATATATATACACATCATACATATATATACACATATATTTTCATATACACATACTCATATATACACAAACACACATACACATTCACACATATATACATCTATACATTTCACAAACACATACACATAAACACACACATATACACATATATTCATATACACATACAATCACATATACATACACATATATATTCACATTCACATATATACACATACACATACATAAACACACACATACACATTCACACATATATACACATTCACTTACACACATATATAAACACACACATATACATTCACACATATATATACACATTCACACACAAACATACATACATACATACATACATACATACATACATACATACAATACACACATTAACAACACATAAACATACATACACACAAAATATACATACACATATATAATCCATATATACTCATATATATATATATTCACACTTATATACATATACACATACCTTGATATATCTGGAGATATCTTGGAGGAAAACAACGTTGGAAAAAATTGGAGAAGATTAAGATTTTTTTTTTGGAAACTTCAAAGTCTGAAGAAAGAAGACGAAGTCGGTGCTTTTATTTCGTGTTGCGACGAAAATTACCATCGCCATCCGTCGCAAAACGAAATAAAAACCGTGAAAATTTAAAAATTTTCATCGAAAATAACGAAATAAATGAAATTAGTATTTGCGACGGAAATTTCCGTCGTCATCCGTCGCAAAACGAAATAAAAACCGCGAAAATTTGAAAATTTTCATCGAAAATAACGAAATAAATGAAATTAGTATTTGCGACGGAAATTTCCGTCGCAAATCCGTAGCTAATTCTGAAAAATAAATAAATTAAATTAAAAATAATTAAAATTAGCATTTGCTACGGAAATTTCCGTCGCAAATAATGTTTGTTATTGCGACGGCAACATCTCCGTTGCATTCCGTCGCAAATTTTCGACGGATTTTACGATTCTTTGAGACGTAAATTTTTTTTCCGCATTCCGTCGCTAAACCGTCGTATTCCGTCGTAATTTTGTATGCGACGGAATTTTCCGTCGCAAGTTCCGTAGCTATACGAGAATTTTCTTGTAGTGTGTAGAATAATGAATGAATATACGTGCGTATTCCTTTTATAATATATTTTATGATTTCATAATTTCCATTGGCAGGTGACAAATTTTGAGTGTGGTGGATACTCAGTTGGGATAAGCTGCAGCATTCTTCTAGCTGACATTATTATTGGGACAGACTTCATAAGAAGATGGTCTGAAATCCATTCCTCAATATTATTACACAATAACGACGAGCCCACGCCAACACCAGTCTTTTACCTTCCTGCCCTCAAACAAGACATATCTTATCTCTCTACTCTCTCCACCTCGGTTTCCATCCGCAGCGTCTCCGAACCTGTCGTTTTCCGCGCTAAACCCACGAGTTTAGGCTCTGAAATCCGCGAGAGATTCGCATCGATCCACACGGAAAAGGTCCTGGGGTCAGAACTGGTTGGTAGATCATGTCCGGACGTTTTCTTGTTTGTCAAGGAACAAGGCGACGAGAAGCTAGAGGTCCGATCAAGGTCATACGGCGGAGAGGTGAGCCATGAGAATGACGATGATGGTGATTTCGAGGAATCTGCACAGTTTAGTGAACTTAGTTTTTGGCCAGGGAAAAGACCAAACCATAGTTCGTGTAAAATCGGTTCTGTTTCCGACGGGCTTGTGTTAGTTGTTCCATACCCATGCGGCGATGATGACGACATGTCTAAGTCTATGGTCAAAATGATCGTGGCATCGCCTCCATGATATCTATTAAAACGATGTTTCGCATTCGTTCAATTAATCTTGTCGATAACATATGTATACACGATACAAAATCAAGATTTATTGAAAAAATGGACCCTTAATATTATTAGCCCAAGGAATCGTATGAGACGTTATAACCTGATGGTCACATTTTTGCTTGGGCTTTAATTTGGGCCTAGAAATATGTACGTGGACCCAACACGTAATGGGCCGAACGCGCTGACTTATCGAAGGGACCGTCGGATTGAATCTCTAATCGTGTTGCAGAGCAAGCGAGCTGCGTCGCGTCTTTGTCGCTGTCGCCGGCTATATCCACCGGAATCTCTGCCGTGATTCGACGAGCACTTCTGAAGAATCGGTTCGAGTAGATAGTTGTGGGATTTTTCAAGGTTAATTTCGTAAACCTAGTTCGATCTCGATGATTTTCCGCGAGTCCTCGGGATCTGTTTCTCTAAACCCCGTCAATTTCTTTGTTCCGCTGCTGCATCATTTGGTTATCATTTATTAATGGCGGAGATTTGGTTGTCCACGCCATTGTCGGATTTTGACTCCTTTCTTCATTGGTGATATAGGAAAAGGTCTGTTTCTGGGCGTCCTGAATTTTCCTGAAAGATGAACAAGCTTTTAGAATTTGGGAGAAGAGCAATGTTCTATGTCAGAGTCCTCTCTGGGTACGAACAAAGGAGGATTCGGAATTACAGGTTGCAGCTCGAGCAGCGTATCCAGCAGGTTTTTACTTTACCCAGACGATTTACTTCATTTTTGGTGCCCAAGGATGAACCCTAGAAGGAGATGCTGAAGCTTTTTGCTTTCTTTCTTGAATTGTTGGGTCCATGGATTATAGAAACGTTTTGTCTACAACTTCATCCTTGTTAAGTCGTCTTCTTATTAGGAAAATGTTTGCTCTACTACATGCTGGATAGGATCCTCCACACTAATCTGCAAATCGAATAGTTTCTCTGCCTGATGGGATATTAGAAAATTTGCAAAGCTGAAGAACACTGAAGGGTTTTTTTTTTTCCTTTCTTGGAATGGAAACCGAACCGTGGTTTGATTGACGAGAACTGAGTGTTGCCTTTGCTCTTCAGGCACAACAGAAGAAAGCTGACATAAATAGACTCCCTGAGCGACTTATATTATCCGAGGTCCGCCAAATGGTTGAGGAGATGCAGAATTTGAATAAGCAGCTCGAAGAAACGGTTAGGCTCTTGCTTCCAATTTCATTTCTGAAAATTTCAAATGCCCATCTTTTGTCGCGATTTATCAATGTGCGACATGCGTAGTTATTTGTTTCGACGCTGTCTATGCGTTTGTTATGTGAGGCAGGTACATGTATGTTGGTTTCTAGACTTGAGCGTTCAAATTAGGGGGGAAAAATTCACCATAAGTTTTTGGATGTTAAATATTCTAAAAGCATTGAAGCTTGGAGGGAAGAACAACAAGCAACATTAGAATTTCTTAATATATATGATCTTTCTAATCCTCTTTGAATTGTGTTTATTCGGGTTAAGATAATTTCGAATCTCAAGTCCACGGGTGTAAAGGGCTTTGTCATTACCCTCCTCGCCATGGCTAACCTATTATTATGTTTATCTCTGACAGGAGGCTAGGATTGACGATTACTTCAAACCAGTAGACATGCAGGCAGAATCAATAATGGAGATTCAGCTCCAAGGAGAGAAGGAGCCCATGAAGCAAATGATGGCTGCCACTCAGGAACTTACATTTAAAAAGATTGAAGAAGCTGAGAAACGTGCCATGGCACAAAGAAACGCAAACACTAGTGAGAAAAATAACCCAGATTCAGAGTCGGCAGCCGGCCAGCCAGCACCAGGAGGCTGATCCGAGGTATTCTTTTTGGGTTTGATACAGCGACTAGATCCAGAATCCTCCACTGGGTGTGTGTTATCTCTTGAGAATTGCAGAGATTGCTAGTTGATTAAGACGATTATCCCATGCCTATACATTCGTTTGGGGGGGG